GAGTAACAACAATAGACCACCTCCTAACAAAACACCGCTCCACTCTCGCGAATATAGTAGCGTAATGATCTCCAAGCTTCTTAACTATTCATGGCAGAAGTAAAGGGTGATCATACCTCTATGCCTCTCTATAAATTCCTTCGACTGGAACATCATCTACATCCGACTCACCAACTCTAATCATACTCCTTCTTTACCATTCGACATCCCACAGCCACAACCACATCCACTGTGACATGCACTAGGCGCACACAAATCCAATGCAGGCGCCACGTCTCGCCCAAGCACCTGCCAGCACATACTACCCACAAACGACTCATCACCTGCATGCACACACGTCAGCGCAAACCACACAGTCCGCGCATAATCCCCTGTAGCGACCAACTTATCCGTCGTCCCTATCCCCCTACCCCGCACACAACACGGTTAGCCAGCGTGATACCCTGTTATCTCTCATCACACCACTCTCTACTTACCACACACACACAAACACTCATACACACACCTTCTACACTACTTACACACGACCTCATCAACCAGATTTGCACACACAACCTCATATACCGCTGTCTAGACTAACTGATGTCCCGTGTTCACATACAATTAAATGGATCAAACTCCGCTCTGCACATCAGCCCATCGCCCAGAATTCATCGCCACTCATACTTGTTCACCGCCACGCACCGCGACGCCCACACGCCTCACTCTCCAACCCACATAGCGTCATATATCTACATACCGATTGAGCATCCCGAATACAACAACGCCACTATACACACTCACACGTGCCTCTTTCCTACACCCTCGGACAGAGAAAAAAAAAAACTTGGCCACAGCACACTCGTAACGAACCCTCACCTGCAAGAACATGAAACAGGTCTGGCGCTTGAAGACTTCCTGCAGGAATGTCGGTTTCGTCCTTCTCGAGACATGTCCTCATACTGTAATACGAATGCATAAGCCCTAAGCTTTCGCCTATTTCCCCTTTTCGTATATAGGCGTCGAGTAGGTCTGCGTCCAAGAAATATTTTCCTGACGCACTTACTAACTGTAACCGCAAGCTCATTTCCTACACTTGGGCAAGGGATCCCTCATCATCTTGCACCCCTTGCGATCACCGCGTGCAGGCCTGGTCTACGGAATCTATTTTTCTTCTGGCCTTTCTTGTCAGCGTAAGCCTAGGTAACAACCTTACAACATCACTGCACTTCCTAATTCTTCTGCCTGCGGCATCCTCAGTCATGTTGTGAGTCTCACAGAGCCTACAGTATAGGAGAGATTGGGTGATAGAACCCTTCCGAGTCCGTTCTTGCATCAGTTCAGAACTTGACATCCTCCGCCCCATGTTTCCAATCGCTGCGAAGGCCTACTTTGTTAGTGTCCCTGTCGATCGTGGTTTCGTAGTTAGTACCCTTCGTAAGATAGATACTATATATCTCGCACCGCTTCTCTCGGTACTAGTAGCACACCCATATATATCGCTTATTACCTCAGCTGGCGCATCCTCTCTCCTCTATATTCTGCATAGCTCTAGGCTGTCTCTGGCTGTCCTCCCTTTGTGTTTAACAGTCAGATCTCGGTCTTCTTAGAGCGTCACCACAATACTCAACTCCAGAGTAATTACCTATACATGCCTTTTAACACATACGTTCTCGTTTTGCTATTTTTCCTGCCTCGTAGTGCGAGTGTACTCCCATCGTATCAATCCATCCCGAGAGAAACAGAAAGAAAAAATAATTCAATCCACGAAATCTGCAGATATTATAAATGAGGCTTTCCGATACTTGCAGGAAAATGAGAAAAAAAAAATGACAACAGTCAGTACTGCAAAAAAAAGATACAGTAGGAAAGAAATCTCGCTCATTGCCCCCTCAGAAACTGGAATCTCGAGTTGCCAGTTCTGTCCTCACCAATCGTAGGATTTACCATACACAAAAAGAGTCTCTCACTACTACAAGACCGTTTTTAATTGACCTTTTCTACTCCTTTATCTACGCACAAAAGATATATTTCAGTCCTGTAGACAGATTCGAGATGATTATCTGTGGTTCGTGTTGATGGACGTCCAGACGGGTTAGGGAATTCCCAGACGAGCAGAAGATCCGTGGAATAATAATATAGATTCCCGGAGATAAGATCATGATTATATATATATATATATATACATATATATATTATATTATATATATATATATATATTATAATATATATATATATATATATATATATATATATATATATGCCATATATATATGCATACATATACATATATATATATATATATATATATATATAATATATATATATATATATATATATATATATATATATATACATATATATATATAAATATATATATATATATATATATATATATATATATATATATATATATATATATGCTTACATACATATATATATGCATACATACCATATATATATATATATATATATACATTATATATATATATATATATATGTATATATATATATATATATA